TTCATGTGTGCCAATAAGTGAGATGTTAAACTGAGCCACTTGATTGCGGCAACAGGTGCTTAGGCAATTAGGACTCGTGCTTGAGCCCGACTTAACTAGCTACATATAACAATTACTTTGAAGTGTGCCAGAGCTTAAGAGCTCAGTTTGCTTCACAATTCATTAAGGGCTCAATTGCAAATTGGGAAAGAGAAATTTGATTGACAATAATCTGTTGATTATGTCGTGTAAGACAGAGAGAGAGAGAGAGAGAGAGACGGATGTTTGTTTGCTAATTATGTCATTAGGCAATTAGTGCGCCTTTAGTTGTTTTCATATGATTCTTAAGACGGAATTCGGCTTTAAGACTTTCATAAGGTATCTTCTCTTACTCTTTAATTAGTGTGGGACTTTAAAGGTGACTTTAAGGGTCAGCCTAACATTGTACCTAAGGCTCTTTTGAAACTCACTTTAAGCTCAGCATGTTTATTTTTCAAGTTTTCTTAGTTTAAGCTTAAAATATAATAAGTTGAACGTAATACTACCATATAAATCCTTACAGATCAAAGGTACTATTTTTACATAGCTGTAAAATAGTTTGAGAAGCTGTCATGGTTTGATATGGACTTTAAAAATGATTTCAATTAAACTAAATATTATTTCCTATTATATTAAATGAATTCATTAAATTATTTTTATGCGGGCGTATACTTGATATAACTGCAATGCATTTCATTGAACATTTTTGTGAGACCAGCAGCGATGCGGAAAACATTTAATCCTTTCATAAAGCGTTCTCTATTAAAGCTTTTATTTTTTTTATTCTATTTACTTGAGCGAATACTTGATAAAATTGAAATAAATGGCAAATAAATACTTTGATATATTGAATTTATTTTTCCATTTATTTATAATTTAATTACACATATAAATCTTTCTACTACCGGGAAAAAATGTGTTGCTCAAAAAAGGAAATTTTTCTGTTGAAAAAGCTGTGCATATATTTATATAGGGGATCACATGGAACTATTTGAGTGGTCACATAAAAAATTGATGCCTGTTTGCCTTGTGAAAAACCGAATGTAACCAGGCGTATGAGCGATATTTACATACACAGAGTGAGGGAAGTAGATTGGCATTGTGCAATAGTCGACTTGCCGTATGTCCGTCTGTCTGTTTGTCCACCCCGTCCCAACATTCTTACTTGTCTTTAAAATGATGCAATTTCAAATCTGAGCTGATGCTGTCTGTCCCTTCATCTGCGTTGTCTATCGTGTAAAAGAGCTGCAAAATCTGGTGCCAAATCAGAGCCCGAATAAACGGCGACTGGGACAGAACACAACTTGAAATTAAAAAAAAAAAACGAGAAGGCGAAGGAGACGGAAATACTATGTCGAGGGAGCTGGCGGCCAGCTGCATGCATGTGTTTGACAAAGGACAGGAGCGAAGCAGAGAGCAGAGACAAAGGCAAAGGCAAAGGCAAGGGCAACCAAATGCTGGCAGGACGTTTGATGCGCCACAAGTGCGTCGTTGTTAACCCCAAGGCAGACGACGCCAGCAACGATGCCAGCGTCCGGATCCCCAGTCAAGCAGCCTTGACGACAGACAACCAGAGCTGATATACACACGCCTGTATACATGTGTATGTGCATGTATATGTACATACATACGCGTATGCGTTGTCAAGGACAACAGACGCACAATGAACTCATCGCACACTGACTCTGATATTAACACAGGAGCAGCAGCAGCAGCAGCAGCAGCAACAGCAGCAGCAACAGCAGCAGCAGCAACAGCAGCAACAGCAGCAACAACTGCTTGTTGAGTGAGTGTTGGCGGCACACCAGTTGCCTTTTGTGTCCTGGACAAGCGCTTGATTTGTGCCACGCCCCCGCTGCTCATCGTGGCCCAGCCTCCTAACCGAGCCACTCCATTTCAGCACTGAAAAGGTGCGACGTGTCAGCAAAAATCGCATAAAGCGAAAGCAAATTTGCTGTCGTTTGTCCCATTGTTGTTGTTGTTGTTGTTGTACTTAGGCCAGCAGGAGAGCAACAGGATGAGTTTTTAAGTATGTGCTATACACACACACACACACGCATGCAAATGGTGTATAGAATTTTTGGCAGTTGCCGCCACTCAAACAGCAGCAGCAGCAGCTACAGCAGCTCCCCTTGGAAATTTTTGATGTCTCGCATAAATTATTCGAGGGAAAAAGCTTCTTGTAAATCGAATAAATTTAAGAGAATTTTTTGCAGCTGTGTTGAGAGACGGTGGCGGTGGCAGAGGCTGGGGCAAGCTGTGTCTGCCACTCGAAAGGATATCAATTGCCTGGCTGGTCTTAAATGCTTTGATTGAGAAGCGCACAGAGAGGCGATGCCTTGAAATTTATAAAAGTTTGTTTGCCTTAGTAAATATTTGAACTTTTTTTGAAGTATTTGCAATCTAATATTAAGAGTATGAAGAAGAAGAAGAAGAAGAAGAAGAAGAAGAAGTCTTTGACAAATTTATAAAAGATTTATACAAGTTTTACTTTCAGATCGTAGTTGATTATTCTTGAGCTATGGATTGATGTTAGAGTTTGGATAACTCAAGTTATGCGGATGGATTACTGTTAGTTTCTTAAGCTAATAGATATTTGATATATATATTTTGTTTGACTACTATGGTCCAATAATATTCTTCCGTTAAAGTTAGCAGTTGAATATAGAATTTGAGCGACATTTGCTTATGGTTTGCCACCTCGAATTAGCCTAGTTGCTGTTATTAGTCATTTAATTGACCAAATCGATGCCTCACTTAAGTCAAAGTCCGGAATAAGTTTTTGGTTAATTGCGTAAACCGAAAACAAATCAATAATTGACGTGACAAAGGAAGTAATTCAAATCGAGAGAGAGAGAGAGAGAGAGAAGTAGAGAAATTTCTACACATGTATGTCTGAATAGATATCTATATATATGTACGCATGCATGTTTGAGGTAACTGTGGATTATATCGCATCCCATTGTGTATACATAATTGAGTACTCACCGCCATGCCGTATGATGCCCACTTCCTGCAGAATCGATGCCGCCAAATCCGCCTTTTGTCTGCTGCTCTCGAAGCGCTCCGAGTTGAGGGGCACTTGGAGCGGTCGGTAGAGCTGCGAGATGCAGAGCGTGCCCAGATTCTCTGTGGCGATGTCGTGTATTGTCACCAGCGACTGCTCAATGGCCGACTGCGAAGAGGAAGCAGAGTTGGAGGGGGGCAGCTCAATAAATCTCTATTCATTAGGTATATTTATAAATGAGCCCAATTCCCACTCCCACTCCCACTCCCACTCCCATTTCCACGCCCACTTTCACGGCTCAGCCCGACCCAAAAGGCAGACAACTTTAGCTTGTTTGCTTGGTCAACGCATTAAAAATACATTTTTTGGCTAAATACATTCACGGCCCAAACAGACAAGACAGCTAACCGGCGTCGGCTGCCCTTGGCTTTTATCGTTAGAGTGGAAAATTGAGTTATTTGCCTCACTTTGTTCTAATCTGCGAGCGCGCGAAACTTGCCAACAGAACCGGCTGACTTTGGTCCACCCGAAATTGATAGAGTGACCCAAAATATACAATGGGTGTATGTATTAATGTGTGTGTGTGTGTGTGACCTGACAGTTTATTGCTTTGTTTTGTTTAACTTTTGTTTTGTTGTCCTCAGCCTGATGACGATCTCCTTGAAGTGCTTCAACAAAGAACATTTTAATTGAACTGCGAACTGCGAACTGGGACCCAAAACTTTTCCTAATTTTATTTCATAGGGACAATCAAGTTTATTTTTTACTAATTTCATTTACTATTGAACAACTAATTTCTATTGAGAATCGAAATTCCCATTTTAGAGTATTACATTTAAGTGAATAATAAATTTAACTTGATGCAATTGATAATGCAGTCACTCCCCAACGATCATGTAATACCCATTCACTCAGCTCTAGCAATTTAATTCTTTGTTTTTTGGCCAAGGAGTCTGTAAGTAGTTAGCTAAAGCTCCAAGACATGGGAAGCTATAGTTCTTTCCTCTTTGCGAAACATTATACACCTATATATAAATCTGCTAAGCCAATAAGCCTGACTTTTCGATTCGAAAGTTCTACGATCAAGAATTCCTGTTTGTATTTTGCTGATTCCTGCTGAGCTTTGGCCAAGTTCCGAGTGTATGACTAAATGTCTATCGAATTCACAAAATACGAATTCAATGAATTTTTCTCCTTGACTCGAATTGGGTCAAGCTGCCGGCTGCCTCCTCTTAGCAGCCTGGGCTTCATATCTTAATCTCCTCAAAGCCTGAGTCAAGGCAAAAATTGCTGAATCAAAGGTAAATTCATACTAAAGCTTGTTGTTTTATATAATTTTGAATGCTAATTCAATCTGAATTATTCAGAAAATCTTTTATGAAATTCGAACAATTATAACTTCTCAAATTTGTTGCTTTTAAGAACTGCATCAGCATCTGACTAGCTTCAGTAGCTTGAGATACCAATTAATCAGATTAACTGCTCTGCTTCTTCCACTTGAGTGGGCTCAGGTGCAGCTATTTGCACCTGCATTTAGTGTTGCCTTACAGCGGATTGCTGTTGCCTGTTGCTGTTGCTATTGCTGTTGCTGTTGCTGTTGCTGTTGCTTTCGTCTGCTCAAGTGTTGTGGCTGAAGGCTGTCTCATTATAACAATTGCACTCAGCGCTAATTGCAGCTAATGATGAATTAAACTTGAGCAGCAGAGCCACCCAACCACCCAACCATCCAAACCACTCAGCCACCTAGAACTCAAGTCTAAGCTACTTACACGCGTGACTATGTTGCCATCGCCAATTCGCAGAATGTTTTTAAATGGATCGCCCTGAGCAGCAGTCGAGCCCGGCCAGGCGAAGCTTGTGGATGTTGCTGCTGAGGCTGTTGCTGCTGCGGCTGCTGCTGTGGCTGTTGTTGTAGCTGTAGATGTTGTTGTCGCTGTTGCTGTTGCTGTGCCTGTTGGCTGTGTTGCAGTTGTTGTTGCTGTTGCTGTTGTTGCCTTTGCATGCTCAACTGCCAGCAGCAGCAGCAGCAACAACAGCAACAGTTGCTTTGTCACGCCAGCAACTAGTTGCTGTCGCTGATGTTGCTGTTGCTGTTGCTGTTGCAGTTGCAGTTGCTGACAACTGTCGTCGAGTGCTGCGGCGAGCATTTGCCTCTTTCCTGCATTGAGCATGCATCTCATTGTTGTTTCTCATTTGCCACTGTGCAGCTGCAATAGAAGGAGAAGGAGACAGAGAGAGAGAGAGAGAGAGAGTGTTAGTGAGTGAGTGAGACGGATATATGCAATGCTCTTTAAATAAGTAATTGCCAAGCTTTCGCAAAAAGGAGAGAAAACTTAGCCCTAATTGCTGGAACCGAAATGTCCTTGCGATGAAAACATGCCAGCTGCCTGAATATTTAATTAGTTAAATGAAATCTCTTTGCTTTCTCCCTCCTTTTTCCTCCTTTCCTTTCGGTTTGCGGCTTGTCATTGCCTCAGCTAAGGCTAGACTCTGCTCCGATTTCAGTGCAGTTCAGCACAACCTGCGCAGCGTTTAGCAACACTTTGAGCCTAATTGCGATATTCTAATGGCTAACGGCCATTTAAGTGTTGGTAAATGGGCAATTATTTAGCTAAGATAAAGATAAGTGGTGCTCGAGGTGAAGAGGGTAAGCTTGGCGTAAAGCTAAGGGAAAGTAATTGAAATGCAAAGTGAGTGTTAGTCAGTTGTATGAATACTTTTTGTATTTTAGTGTTGATAAATAAGCAAATATTTATTTATGATACAGATGAATATGTTGGTTGGGAATAATTTTCTAGGGTTATCAGAAAAGACTTGAAATATTTTCTGAATTTTAGCTTAAGCCTTGTTGAATAAAAATGTATTTCTTGATATTTTATATCGTGATAGAGCTCACAGAATATATGTAAATGCAATCAGCTTAAGCTGCTGAGCTCAAAGTACGATTAAATAGATCTCCACCCGTATATTAGTCAAATTTGTATTTACATATATTCGAGCCAGAGAGGAAGAGAAGAAAATGCTTGCTCAACGTGTCAGCACGAGGCCGAAATGATTAAGCAAATACATAAATAAATTGTTAAAATATTTATTTTATGCCCCAACGAAAAGGCAGAGCTCCGAGTGTCTCGCTGGGCCTCCGCGTGTTGGTGTGTCGGTGTGTCAGTGTGTGTGTTGACGTACGTGTGTGTTGCCAGGTGGAAGCCACGTCAACAAAGGCAACAAGCGGAAGCACTTGCATACGACTTGCTCTCTAGACCAAAAACCAAACCGAAACCCAACCCAAACCAAAACCAAAACAAACCAAACGCTTATGAGTTTTTCATGAAAGCGAACGAAATGTAAATATCAAATAAAAAGCAGAAGAAATAAAGGAGAGATAAACAAACCTAATGACTGACTAGGCTATACCCTGTGCGAATACATGATGAGACATTTATTTATGAATATTCGATAATTAATATATTATAAAGTTTTTAATTAATACATTTCCATTGTGGACTTGATCCATCTATTATAATATTTTCCCCCCCTGTTTAGAATTGTCGTAAGCTTAAACTTTTCTTTCTTCTTCAAAGATAATAAGAAGAGTCTCAAGTTGACCTGGTTGAAAATAAAATGAAAGCGCAGCTCACTGTCCTCATAGCTCATAAGGCCCCACTTGTGTGAAAATGTTTACAGGGTATATTTAAACATATACAAAAAGCATCAGCATGTGTCGAGGATATGTACTTGTGTTACATATCTTTTGCATTAGCAGCAGTCGAGAGCTGTAAAATGATGACTAAACTGGGACGTAATGCAGCTGGATTCTCCAGTTGGTGCAAAAAAAGGATTGAGTGGGCGTGGCAGGTAGAGTTTGGGGCAAGGGAACCTTCCATTTTTAAATGAAAGCAACGTTTTACAACGTTTTCACTTTTAGTTGGCAACAAATCGTTGTGCGTCGCCTGTCGTAAAACTTGGGCCATTCGATCCATGGGCTTGCCACCATTTTGTTTTATTTGCGACGCATTTTACAAAATGTGTGTGTGTATTTGTGTGTGTGTGTAGTGTGCTACTTATAATATTTAATGTTCATCGCTTATTGATTGCATTTCCCGTTAAATGTTCTCTAACGAAAAGCCATTTGATGAACAAAAAACTGTCGCTGGGGAAATTACTTAAAAAGATTAACTCAATGGAGAGAGGGAATAGAGAGGGAGAGAGAGAGAGAGAGAGAGGAGGAGGTCATTATGATGTCAACTATTTAGATCCGTGTTGTAGATAGAGTGGAGAGAGCGGAGCTGGATGAGTTCATGATGTAGTAATTGCGAGAGATATGGGGAATGAAATGTAAATGGGCTTACACAGAATTTGTGAGGTCGTAAAGCTGGCAAGTAAACAGAATTCAAATTTGTGTATTAAAATAGCTGATATACATATTAGATACTTTCTATCATAGACGATTTATTCGAGAAGTTTGAGTCGTTATTCCGGGAATTTTTCAAGCATTGCATAACATTTACCTAGCTTAAGTTTTCGTATCGAACAAAAACTTATAAAGTTGCTGCCAGCTGTGATGCAACTTGCCAACTTTTGCCTGACATTGTTTCCGTCTTTGGTTTGTTATTTCACTTTAATGAAACTTTAAAGTTTCTTATATATTAAAAGGGATATTAAAAGTTGCTCAATTAGAATGTTTTTTAATTGATTTGCAGAACTAGAAGATGTGAAAAGATCAAGGCTGGGAGAGAAAGTGAGAGACAGAGAGAGAGAGAAAGATAGAAAGAGAGTGTGAATGAGAGAGAGAGAGAGTCAGAAAGAGAACTTACTCTAGAGGATTATAGGCAGACAGAGAAGATAAAGATATCTAGTATGAGGATTTACTTACAGGCTGAGAGATTATTTTTGGTAGTACGGTAGTACGGAAGACTCGATGCAATACGTAGCACCTAGCTGTATATATATTTAATCTTCTATCTCCTCGTCAACTCAAACATTCATCTAAAATTTCAAAAAATTTGCAAATTTTGGCTCAAACTAAAACTCAAAATGAGATTCAAATATCTAAAAGAAACTTTTTTTTAGCTTCATAATGAAGTTTGACATGCGGATGCTCTGAAATAATATATCACTAAAAAAACAAAGGCAACTGTTGACAATGGCCGGGGCGTGGCCCCGTATAGCCGCACAATGATATGAAATACGATTTCCCTGCCAGAAGGAAGCTAATTAAATGCAGCACGAAACCAACAGAAACAAAAGTAAAACCAATCTAAACAAAAGTGCGAGCGAGACAGCATGAATAAGCGCAGCTAGTTGAAGTTTGTATACAACAGCAAATGGGAGAGAGAGTGTGTGTGTGTGCATACTTTCGTATGCCACTGTGGCTCAACTCAACGCCGACACAAAATGCGCGTGTGTGGCTTTTGCCTTTTTTATTCCAACAAAAGTGGGCGTGGCCCGTGTGTGGGCGTGCATATTAAATGGCAATGCGCGCATTAATTTGCATTGCCCAAAAAGGGGGCGTGGCAGTCGTTGCGTTTTTTGCTTTGCTGGCAAAGCCACAAAAGTCAATTGAAAGCGCGAACAAATTTGCAGCAGAGCTTATGCTGCTCGTTAGTGGGGAGCTGAAGGGGTATATAGGTTTTCTAGATATGGTTAATAAATATAAATTTATGTCGTGTTACAACATCTCTCATATACTCTATAGTTAGCATCATATTCTCAGTTGTTGAAAGTTTCCCTCTTAAAGTATTTGATGAGCATGAAGTAGTCGTTCAGTCGCTCTCTCTCTCTCTCTCTCTCTCTCTCCCCCGGCTCTCGCTTTTTCTGCTTACTTACTCTATTTGTTATTGCTCCTAGCATCGTTCGGTTAAGTTTCTTTTTACTACCCAATAATAGTAGTTCTTGTTTTTTTAGTTTTTTGTTGTCTCTATTTGGCAGCTGAATCCGCATTTTATGTTCTCTTCTCTGTTCTCAGAGTTCGTTCAGAGAGACATTAAAAGTAACAAGCCATAAAACACGCACAGCTAGCTATGCCCCTTATGACAATGGGGCTGTAGGGTATACAGGGGCTGCCTAGGCTAGGGCTATAAGTAAATGAAAAATAATTGAGGATATAAATATAAATTAAAATATTCTCTATTCTCGAATTCGCTTACAAATTCGGTAATTAAATTTCTACAACTGCCCACTTTGGAATACCCTTGCCCAACTGGCATACCCCCATCCATGATTTCCGCCACACTCGAGCTGCCATCGAATGCAGCCATCAAATTGAACAAGCCAAGTTAACAGGAGCGCAAACACTCGACGCATTTGCTGCTGCCAGCAGGAGCAGCTCTTCAATTGAGAGCTTTGCTGCTGCTGAGTATAAATTATTGAAATCGTTGAACATCAAATGGATATATTTAAGTACAGTTACCAGCGACTTCTTCTTCTTCTTCCACTCGCTTTATTTAATGGCACTTGTTCCGCTTTTAATTAGACTAATTTATAAGCAAACTGCAATTGACGGCGACATCTTAACCAGTGCACCTCTCCCTCTCTCCCTCTCTTTCTCTCTCTCTGAGTGCTTTCCTTGAGGAGCTGCACTTGACAGAGAAATGTGTTTTTTATGAGCAGCCTAATAAACAAGTCACGTGTGAGTAACTTGCAAGCGTCACGTGTTTGGCCTTTGCCAGGAGCAGCTAATTAAATGCTTGCCTTTTTATAGGGAATACCCCGAATGAGCAGCTTTTAGACTATAAATGGCACGTTTTCAAATCTTAACTGCTGGAACAACTGCTAATTAAATTTTTTTATTTTAAACTTAATTTATTATTTTATTTAAATTTAAGTAAATAATTTTCAATATTTGAAAACATTTTTACATAACTTTGTTTTAAGACTTATTTAGAAATTAACTTCAATTATTTTTATATATTACCTATTGTTTCTTGAATATTAATCTCGTATTAAGTAAACTTTGAGTTAAAATGCAAAAATATCTTGAAGGTTTTAAAAGTTTGTAGGAAAAGAAATTTGCAAATATTTTTTGCTTCTGCTGATATTAATTATTCTCGTTGAAGGAGCTGAGCTGAGCTACTTCGTTCGCAATCTATTTACATTTCTTATTTATATGTCTATATCTATAAATCCTCTTCTTAAATTGTGAAGTGTACGTGCACATTAAAAACACTTGACATCGTAAAGCTAATAACGTCGCAGCTTAAACAAAATCATC